GAGGCCCGGAGTTCCTAGTATGTGTACGTCACCCCATTTCTAAGAATCAGCGCATGCTCAAGGGCCCCTAAAGGCAGACAGCGGGGAAGCGGGGACACATGTTCCAATCGATGCCTCTTACAGATGCGGGTCAAAGGTCGCAGTGTCAGAGCACCGAACCAGTGAGGGAGGGAGAATGATTCCAGGCCCGGGGGCAGGTCAGTGACACCCGCCTGTCACGGCAGCTTCAGGTCACGGGTCAGAGTCAGATCACGGGTCAGAGTCAGATCACGGGTCAGACCTGAAAGCGCAGGGAAGGGTCAGGGGCCCTTTGACGTTAAGGCTGTAATAAACGGAACAAATGACACCTGAGGTGACACCAGGTGAGCGTCTCGGAGCCAGGACATAAGAACAGAGCGAACAATCACAGGTTCACATATTCAAACTGTGCCTTCCCAGGTTAGAGCCTGCACAGGCCCATGTGGGGGCTCCAGGCCCGCACCTTCTCAGGCTGGTGACGGCCCCTACCCTGAGGGTCAGCGGCATTCCCGCCAACCTGGTGCCCTGGGGCCAGTGGTCAGGAGACTTCCGCCCTTCCTCCCGCTTCCCTTGGGCGGCCCTGACCCTCAGCCCAGTGACGCCAGGGACCAGGCGGGAATGCGTGTTTCTGAGCATCCGGACATCAGCTGAGACCCAGCGAGGGCGCTTCCCAGGGTGGCTCCGTGCATCCTGGGTACTTTCTGTGCCCGACTGCCCTCCTGGGAGTCCCGGGATGGGACGTGCTCTCCTGTCAGCCCCGGTGTCCTGACTCAGGTTTCTCTCCTCCTCTGGGCGATGAAGGAAGAGGCGAGTCTGCCCCGCACACCGCCTCCCCCCAGCGGGGCCTTCGCGCCCTCTTCCCCTCGCTCCTCTGTCTGTGCGGAATCCCCCTGGAAAGCGAGGTGGTGAGTTGGCTTCCACCAGCGCGTCGCTGGGAAAAGGGAAAACACCACCCGCGCCTCTCAGATCTGAAGCTCTGCCCTGTGAAGAGCTCCCGGGTCTCCGGAGGGAGCGTGTTTACGGTGGGATCCGGCCCCGGGAGGCCAGGGAGGGGGGGCCTGTCTGGAGCCACGTGGCAGCCAGGAGGCAGGAGGCAGCCCCCAGCACGGCCAGGCCACAGGCCTGCCTGTTCCCAGCCGAGCGGGACACCCGGGAACTTTCTAGAATGACCAGCTCTCAGGGCCTCACACACCTACAGGGTAACTTGTTTGGTAGCAACAAGTAGTTCAGACGCTAAAGGGCTTCTTCGTCTGTGTGTCTCCCACGCGGAGTCTCCACCTCGTCCCAGCCGCCTCGGCCTCTCAGGCCAGTGGTTCCTCGTTTGAAAACGAGTCTGAGAAAGTCCCCAAGGGCAGCGAGGTCCTCGCATGGCCACACACGCTCGTCCCCACACACGCCCCAGAGGGAGACCCTCCCAACCTGCACGAGGCCCGTCTGTCCCCGCCGGGACCCGGACCAGGATGGAGAGGAGTGGGTGTCGCTTCTCGCAGCCGGGACGCTCGGCCTCCGGGAGGCGGAATTGCATGGCAGCCATGGCCGGGCCCCTGCGGATGGGATCATGCTCACCCCATTCTGGACTTAAGCCCCTTTGCAGCTGGGACCAGGAGGGGCACTGTCTCCTCAATCCCAGGACGGGAGTGAAGCAAGGCTGGGCGCCGTCTCAGCTCGCGTCTGCTGAAGATCTGCCCGGCATGGGCAGCTGCAGGTGCAGGTGAGCTCTTGCTGACAATTGCTGGGGACGTGACTGTGGGGAGCAGAGGCTCCAGGCTTCAAAGCACCCCGTCCGAGTCCAGCGCCTGTGCCTGGGTCCCAGGATACGCCTGTGGGAGCACACACCATCCCCGGGGAGCACTCACCGGCCCCAGTCTCCCGGGCACACATGCACCTGCTCCTGTAGGTCCTGTCCTGCAGCCCAGATGGGCAGGTACCTTCTGCAGCCAGGCCTCAGGTTGAGGGAGATGCGAGAAGAGGGGGGCTCTGCAGGGCCTCGCCCGCGGGCTTCCCTGAGACCCCTCTCCCCTACCTCCCTCCCCCAGGCTCATTCACTGTCCTCACCTTTGAGGTGGAAGCCGCAACACCTGCCTCCAATGAGGGCCGCCCCTCCCCCCGAACC